CCCTCCTCACTCCTCCCTCCTCCCTCCCCATCCTCCCGCCTCCCGCCTCCCGCCTCCCTCCTCGCGTTAGTCGTAAGTTGTCCGTTGTCGGCGTCGAGGTCGTCATCGTCGTCGTCGTCACCGTCGTCGTCGTGTCAACCACCAGCATCTGGAGGGCCTCGGATCGGCGGCACTGGCCGGAGGCCATTCAAGATGTATATATGTATTATACATTACAGACATACACAGATTCAAATGCTTGTAAGTAATACCACCCACCGATTACATCTTGCATATTGCACTCCATAGGCTGCAATTCATATACAACACCTCATGGCTTGCACCCCATTGAAGATTGGTATCCCATAGATCGCATTCGATCGACTGCGTTCCATTTGTTGCGCCCAGTACTGCTCTTCAGAAGTTGTAGCCAGTAGAGTGTTTGCGTCACTGCGTGCGGTCACATCGCTGGCGTCATGTTAATGCTCGGATTGTGGTACGCATTGCTGTACCAAATTTGGGCCAAACATTTGGTCACTGTCGCCATTTGAAAAACAGAAAGCGGCGATGACTCCCCACAGACATCTTCAATCCGCCGTCCCCTGTGCTTCACCACAGGTGGCTTGGGCGTACCAGATCCAAGACCAAGACATCCAGCGTCTCAATTTTTCGAGACGCGGGTCCCCGACCACTCGACCACTTCCCCGGGACAGGTTTTCAAACGCGAGTCGTTTCTCTTCGGTCCCCAAACCCGGCAAGGGCCCCGAGAAGATGAAAACGATGAAAAACTTCCGTCTCGATTTTGTCGAGACGCCAGGATGTCTGAGATCATTGTCATACGGTTCTCCTTCACCAAACCCGTCCGGGGCCCACCGGCCGTTGCCGCCGACCTCTCCGCCACTTGCTTTCTCGGGGCAGCTTGGCTCAAGACAGCCTCCAAGGCGACACCAAAAGCGCCCACGATGGCCCAAGAGTGCCCAAAATGTCGCCAACGTGGCCGGAAAGATCTGGATAGCGTCCCAGACTGCCTCCGCGATGGCCTCGGAAGGCCCCAAAAGAGTTCGATGGGTTTCCCAAAAACACTCGGAAAGGGCACGCGAAACACAAGAGGCGACTAGCTTGGTCTAACTGTCGCCGAACGTTTGGTCACACAGCCTTGCCAAATAGTAGAACCAAATGGGCAGGCCGCATTGGCCTCTCGCTGGAGGTGTCTTCATTCTCCAGAATGCGCACTACTCACCAACAATGAAATGTTCGACGTACTTATTCGAGCTGGTGAGCTCACGTCTTCCGCAGGGCGGCCCAGAATACACACAGCATGGCCCATCATCCCCTCTACGATGACTGGCAGCGCGAAAAAAGGCTGGATACACAATTCATGATGGAGGATTCCGTGGATGATCCGCCCCTGGCTCCGCCCAGCTCCGCCCAGCTTCCCCCCCCCGTGAGGGGCAACAACAAGGGGGGACCAGCTCGGGGGGGGGGGGGGGGGGACATCGACCTGGAGTGTGCGATATACCGCCGACAGATTGGCGATAGACCTCCGTTAGCGAATCCGCACGGTCCTGGACGGAGTGGGCTGTTGTATCGGGCCCGCCCCTATCGGTAATCAGGGGGCGATTGGGGCTCGATGCATCCCGCCCTGAGCCTATCCCCCCTGGCGTTGCCCCTGACCTCTGGCTCCCCCCGCCTCTGCCCAGCTCCCCCCCCCCCTCGCCAAGGGTTCAACGACTTCTGCCGTCCCTCGACTCGCGCTGGAACGGTCACGATTTGCTCTAGATCTCCTCTGAGATCTCTGGGACTTGGATTTGTCAATTTGTTCCTCGATTTATCTTCAGTGATCTTCATTTATCAGGCTTGATCCCCAAAAGTCGAGTGGCGAAAAGTGGTCAAGCCCTCAGGAACCCCCCAAGACCCCCCCCGCCTACCACCCTGCCCCCAGGAGCACCCCCCCTAACCTCAGCGCAATGGCGGATACACTCAGCCGCGCAACAACTGGTGGCCAACATGCGGCCAAGAGCAGGAAGGACGGAGCAGGAGGACGGAGGAAAGGGGAGCCATGCCACCCCGCCTCACCATGACGACAGAGCAACACACACACACACACACATACCCAGAGGGGGATCGGAAGGAGGAGGACTGGCTATGGGTATGGGTGCGGGTTGTCGAACTGCGGGTGAAACTCCCGCTCGAGCGGGGACCCCCATCCGACAACACGCACCCATAGCCCCCCTATTGTTATGCGTTTGTGATGTTCGCTCGTCATCACTAGAGGCCTCCTAAATGGGGTCCGAGGAGATTGGGTTGGAGAGTTGCACCGAATCGTCGATACATCGCCGATACATTGGCGGTGCATTGGCGGTGCGGTGCAGCGGCGACGTCGGCGTGGAGAAGATCGGGCTCCACATCGAGCCGCATCGCCGATGCATCACCGATGCGGCACGATCGTCCGACCCCATCTGCTTTGACCCCATCTGAGAGGCTTAGACTCACCTACTACCATCGTGCTACCAGAAGCAAGAGCAAGGATCCGGGGAGGCTTTTCTGGCCACGGCTAGCCTCGGCCACGAAGAGGTCCCCCCGCCTGGAGCAAAGGAACGCCCCGAAAAGCAGCCCGTCCTGAGCCCAGGGTGTACTCCAGCGTCTTGACTGTGGGCCACCTGGCTTGCCTGACCAAGGCTCCCTGGGGTGGCTGATCACTCATCTTCATCGTTGGCCGATGGCAAAGACCGGCTCGCGCTGTTCTTGGAATCCTCACTCCTCCCCAGATGCCCCTCATACTCATTGCTGCCGTAGTCCTCCTCCTCCTCCTCCCCCTCCTCCCCCACCACAGATGGGTAGCATCGCAAGCCGAGCAAGGAGGAGTGGGATCGCGGGGGCGGTGAAGGAGCCTTGCAGGCCAGGAACAGGGCCGAGCCGCACGAATTCAGCGCGACGCAGTACTTGAAGCCCATGTAGTCGGCTATTTGCTTCTCCTCGTCACCCGCGGAAAGCTTCTAGGGAGGGGGGATGACAAGAAGAAGGCCTCAAGCCCAGAGCACACCATGACGATGCTAGCGACTGTGAACGGCTTGGGCGCGTCAGAACCAAGGGACTGAAGGAATACAACTGTAAAAAACGTACTGCTACTGTGTATAATCCCCAAATGATAGAGCTTGATAAGTATCACGATTGGATGTTAGAGCAGGGGAAAACGTTTGAAATGAGAAAACACTAACATATTTTGAAGGCAAACTCTATACACATATATATATATATACAAATACATATGTATAGATAGATGTGCGTCTGTGTATGTAATCCGCCACCCTGCCGCTGGGCACGGAGTGGACGTGTCCTCAGGCATCCTGCTGAAATCTGACCCACTATCCAGGCACGGTGACGGGACGCATCCAAAGCCGTCAGATCCGCCGCCCCCTGCTGGCTTGCCAGGGGTGCATGGCGTGCTGAATTTCTCACGGCTTTTGGTTATGGCTCGTTTCCAAAAGAGCTCACCCCTGGGGCTTCGGTCCCTTGCGCCGGCCACCCGAAAGGCCGCACAATCCGCCGAAAAAAATGCCTCATCGCCTCTAAGACAGCCAAGATGGCCCAAGATGGCCTCCAAGATGCCTCCAAGACAGCCAAGATGGCCTCCAAGACGGCCAAAATGGCCCCCAGATGCCGCCAACTGAGCCCAAGATGCACCGCAGACGGCCTGAGATGGCCTCAAGATGGCCCAAGACGACCCAAGAGGCCCCCAAGAAGCCTTCAAGACAGTCCAAGAAAAGGGTATGCAGGAAGGCCTGAAGAGCAAAAAAATCATGGATGTTCCCTAGATGTTTGAAGGAGTTTTGTATTGGCTATGTTTCGGCTTTCCGAAGCCCGTGACGGCCCAAGAGGCCCCCAAGGTCGCCCAAAAATCACCCAAGAGGCCTCCAAGATGGCCATATGATGGCCCAAGAGGCCCCCAAGACAGCCCCAAGAGGGCCCCAAGACGACCCAAAGAGGCCTCCAACACATTCAAAATGGTTTCTAAAACGGCCCTAAAATGCCTCAAGAGGGCCCCAAGTCGGTTCAGAGAGGCCTTCAAGACGGCGTCCAACGGCGTCAGACGGGCCAGGAACGCCCTAAGACGGCCAAAGAGGTCTCCAAGAAGACCCGAAGGCCCCCAAGAGGCCCAATGAGGCCCCAAGAGGCCTCTCAGAGGCCCTCAGGAAGCTCCCAAGAAGCTCACAAGGTCCTACTCCTCGTCTTCCTCGTTTTCCTCCTCCTCCTCCTCCTCCTCCTCCTCCTCCTCCTCCCCATCCCTCTTCTGATCCTCCCCCTCATTCTTCCCCAAGTGTTCCCAGAAGAGCTTTCCAAGAGTGCCCCAAGAGGCTCCCTAGAGGCCTCCTCCTCCTCCTCCTCCTCCTCCTCCTCCTCCTCCTGCTCCTCCTCCTCATCCTCCTCCTCCTCCTCCTCCTCCTCCACCGATGTGTACGAGCCACCGATGTGTACGAGCCGTTGCTGGTTGACCATGATGGCGCTCTCCGCACTGAAGCCTGCAAACTGGGTGTATGTATATATATATGCATACATACATACATACATACATACATACATGCATGCATGCATGCATACATGCATACATACATATAGATACACACAACGATTAGGAACGTGGTATTGCTCCATCGACCTGAATGCTTGATACAGGCACCATACACCCGTCCAAGTGTCATGGCCAACACAAGTTGACCTAACATCTAGTACAGCTGTACCATTAGCGCAGACGTCTAAAATTATGTGTCTCCGTATCCCAACCAACAACACGAGTCATTACCGCGGCTCGGAAATAAGCAACCATGCCTCTGGCACGAAGTGTAGTGCCCCAAGACCCAGGCAGCACTGAAAGGGAAACGCTGTGCTGCTGCTGATGCAACGAGAACTTTAAGTCTTGCAAGACCAGACCATTCGTGTTCCAGGCCTTGCTGGGGTTTCCCGCGCTGGCTCCCGCGAGTTCTGAGGTGTTTCCTGCGCCTCATATGGACGCGGTGCCCCCCCCCCCCAAAAAAAGCGACCTCCCGAAGCCCAAGACAGCCTCAAGATGACCAAAGAGGCCTCCAAGACGCCACAAGAGGCCTCCAAGAGACCTCCCAAGAGGGCCCCAAGTGGCAAAAAGCATTGATTTGCCTAAGGTGTTTGAAGGATTTGGGCGTTCTCGCCTTCTCTGATCTCCGACGCTATAAGACGGCCCAAGAGGCCCCAAAGACAACCCCAAGACGGCCCAAGAGGACTCCAAGAGGCGCCCAAGACGGCCCAAGAGGGCTCCAAGACGGCCCAAAAAGGAGCCCAAGAGAGGGAGCACGAAGCGAGAATCCGAGCCTTCCGCCCAAGAGGCCCCCAGGAGGTCCCAAGACCCAAGAGGCCCCCACGAGGCCACCAAGAGGCCCCAAGAGGCCCCGAAGAGGCTCAAAACAGACCCCATAAGGCCCCAAAAGGGTCCCCAAGAGGCCTCAAACCGCCCCGAAGAGGCCCCCGAGAGGCCCCCCACGAGATCCCAACGAACATCCAATAGACTTCATACCCAAAGCCCAGGCACGATGGTGGGATAGGCCGAAGGCCACTAGATCCGCCGCCCCCTTTTGATGTATTAAAGGGGTGCCCGGCGTGCCAAACTATATTATATATATATACACACACGCACATACATATGCATAAGTATATATATATATATGGTGTTGGTTCTTTTTCCAAGAGAACTCCCCCTGGGGCTTCGGCCCGTCCCGCCGGCCACCCGGAAAGGATCTCAAAACCTGGTTGCAAAGGTTTTCCCTGCTTCAGATGGCTCCAAGACGGCCCAAGATGGTCTCCAAGATGCATCCAAGACGGCCAAGATGGCCTCCAAGACGGCGAAGATGGCTCTAAGATGCCTCCCAGACGAGTCAAGATTCATCCAAGACGGCCAAAGATAGCCTCAAGATGGTCCCAGACGGCCCAAAAGGCCTCCAAGAACGCCCACGACGCGTCGAAGAGGTCCTCCAGGAAGGCCCGAAGAGGCCAAAATCATTGAATTCCCTAGAAAGTTCTTTACGGATTTGGGGATGTGCGCCTCTTCGGCTTTCCGACGGCCCAAGACGGCCCAAGAGGCCCCCAGGATCGCCCAAGAGGCCCCAAAAGGGCCCCATGACGGCCCAAGTGGCCTCCAAGACGGCCCCAAGAGGGCCCCAAGACGGCCCAAGAGGCCTCCAACACACCCAAGATGGCCTCCAAAACGCCCAGGATGGCCTCCAAGACGGCCCCGAAGCGCCCCAAGAGGACCCCAAGTCGGCCCAGAAAGGCCCCCAAGACGGCTCCCGACGGCGTCAGACGTGCCAGGAACCCACCAAGATGGCCGAAGTTGGCTCGAAGCTGGCCCGAGACGGCCCAAGAGGCCCCCAAGAGGGCCTCCAGGAAGGCCAGAAGAGGCCCAGAACATTGAGTTTCCTTAAGTTGTTTTGAGGATTTTGACATTTGCTTCCTTTCGGCCTTCCGACGGCCCGAGACGGCCCAAGAGCCCACGAATATCGCCGAAAGATCGCCCAAGAGGCCTCCAAAATGGCCCCAGAACGGCCCAAAAGGGCCCTAAGACGGCCAAGAGGCTCCCAAGACGGCACAGGAGGCCTTTAAGACGCCCAATATGGGCCTCCAAGACGGCCCTGGGGCATTCCAAGGGGGCCCCAAGTCGGCCCATAGAGGCCCCCCAAGCGGCTTCCGACGGCGTCAGACGGACCAGGAGCCCACCAAGACGGCCGAACATGGCCCTCAGATGGCCCAAGACGGCCCAAGAGGCCTCCAAGAGGGCCTCCAGGAAGAGGCCCGGAAAGGCCACAATCATTGAGTTTCCATGAGGTGTTGAAGGATTGTGGCATTTGCTTTTGTTCTGCCTTCCGACGGCCCGAGACGGTCCAAATGCCCCCGAAGATCGCCCAAGAGGCCCAAGACACGGCCCCAAGAGGCCTCCAAGACGGCCCAAGAGGTCTCCAAGACGCTCAAGATGGCCTCCAAGACGGCCCAAGAGCCCTCCAAGACGTCCACCAAGAAGGCCCGAAAGGGTCAAAATGGCCTCCAGACGGCCAAGATGACCTTCAAGATGCCCACGTGTTCCCCGAAAGCTTTCCAAACCGATTCGGGGAACACATAGTCCGATAGCTTGGCAGGTCTGGCCTCAACGTTCGGCCACATAGGCGCTTCCAAAAAGGCAGGGGGCGGCGGTGATTCGCCGTAGGCGTCTTCGATAAAATATGGCCGACTCCTGCTTCATGGAATTATCGATTCGTGGTGTCAGCTTGCCTACAGTATCCGCGGCGTCAAAGTGGAGCTGGAGCAGAGGGCAGCTGATCGTCTCGACTGTGCTGCGAGCGTTCGGTTGCAGCACGCATGATGCTGACGCATCCCGCACATTGGTTACATGGATTCCTTATGTAATTACAACTATCGGCTTGATTGTTCCTTTCCATGACGCAACCCTCCGCACAGCCCGTGCATAACGACTGTGGGCCCCTGAAACGTGACTCGGGGGCG